ATACTAAGCAAGAGTAAACTTGGAAGAAAAAAATCTTTAAAGATATCTTCATGATTTACCTTCTCTAGGCCCTTGCTTATTGCTTAATTCCTTTTCCCCCCCTTTTTTTTTTTTTTCTTTTGGAGATAAGGCCTCAATACACAGTTCAAGAGGGTCTTGAACTTACTACGTAGCCATTAGGCTGGCTGGCCTTGAGCTTGAAGCAATCCTCCTACCTCTGCCTCCCAAGTGCTGGGATTACAAGCATGCACCACCGCACCTGGTTCCTTTCTCTTAATATGAATGAACAATAGGAACAGCGTGAATAGCGCATCACTAAGAAGTCCATCCTTGTAGAATGAAGGCATTTTGGCTAAGCTACAGCAGGGAAAAGTTGGCTGGCTATTCTGTTGCAAAGCAAACATAAAGCATGTGGAGTCCTCCACAGGCCCCCCGGCAAGGTCAGCAGAAGGTAAACACACCTCAAGTTCCCAATGGGGAGAGACCCTGGTCCCTCCACAGATCCACCCTATGTTAACCTACTGGGCAGAATTAGTGCCCAACAAGCAAGGGCACCTGCCCAGCCAAGAGAGTCTACTCACCCGGGCAAGTCGCCTGTGCTTCTTTGACACCCTCTGGTTTTTTGGCTTAACTGACAGTTTGTGCTTGGCAGCACTGTTGTCCAGGCGGGCAATGGCCAGGGGAATGGCATCAAGGTTGACACTTTCAATGGTGCTAGCAGAAGACAGGTGCCTTTTTGGCCGAGACGGTTTAACTGGAGCAGTCTGTGATACAGATTAAGATGTAAAGTCTGGTCAGGAAAACCTGCAGGGCAGTCCACGACAGAAGAGCTAGAGTGGAGTCTGCACCCACAGACAGACGGGCTTGTGGGCGTGGGGAAGTGAGGCCTGATTTGGCCTCAATAAGGCCCTGTGTTGCACAGCCTAAGATAGTAAGAAGTGGTTGCCGACTCCGAGATGAGGTGATTTCTAGGTTAGGAACACTGACTCTCAGATACTGTGTGCACACTCACTCCTACACAGGACGGTGGTCCCTTCAAGGAAGGGCGGGTGTCTTTGCCATCTTGGCATGTGTACTTTTAATGCCCAAGTAAGTGCTCAGCCTGTACCTGTTAAAGGAATGAAAGGACAAAAACCCCAAGCCTGGAAGATGAGATTTACAATCAGCAAGGATGTCTTGGCACAATTGCTCCAAAGTCTTAGGGTACTGAGTGTACTACAGAGATCAAAAGGCAAGGGCCTGGGTGGAAAAACAATGGCAAAAATGTACACCGGGGCCAGGGGCAGTTCCTCAGAGGGCAAACAGAAACAGCCTGCACTGCTGGACGCAGTTGCAATAATCAAGGAACCACAGCGTCAGACTGCCTGGACACATTAGAAAGGTCAGAGTGACAGCAGCACAGACTACACCAGAGGGTGGGCAGATCAGACAGCAGGAAGCCGCCCCTGTCACCGCAGACAACTGAGACAAGCTGTGTATCAGGCTGCTGGCTGCACAAGGCCAGTGTGCGGGGGCTGCCTGTGCGCGAGGCTCTGCGAGCACAAGGGCTGGATGGGAACTCACATATTTGGCAGTGTCCACCCAGAAAGTGTAGAGTCCACACAGGTTAGCCACAGGGCTTGCTTTCTGCAAAATCTACCTGCCCTGCTTCTGCACAGAAGATGAAAGAGTAGACTAACCCCAAAATGAAACAGGTCAGTACGTAGTAACTTCTGACATGCTCAGAAAAAATAGCTCCAGCCTTTGGCCTCTAGCTTCATTTATTTATGGTTATCTTTACAATAGGTATGAAATTCTTGTCTGTTGGGAAGAGACAAAGTAAACACTTACTTCTATCCCCTAAGAGATGCACGAGGAAAAGAAGTCAGGGATAGTGACAGATTGTAGACAGACACAATACGCTGAGCTGGATGTGCCCTGCCATGTTTCTAGCTATGCTAGCAAGGCACCCACCGGCACTGTCCAAGCTGTCCCTGTTGTGGGGACCTGACCTATGCACTTCCCTTCTGCCAGACCTTTGGAGGAGGCCAGTCCTCTGAGCAGGTGAAAAGTTCTTACAGGAACAAATTGCTCCCATGGAAGAGTGCCCGGGGGGCTGGCTTACAGTACCTAGACTCCTGCAGGCAAAGTCCCAGGTTTAAAAGGTTTACAAGTCCTTAACTTCTTTTCCTCATGCATCTCTTAGGGGATAGAAGTAAATGTTTACTTTGTCTCTTCCCAACAGACAAGAATTTCATACCATGTAAAGATAACCATAAATAAATGACGCTAGAGGCCAAAGGCTGGAAGTATTTTTTCTGAGCATGTCAGAAGTTACTATGTACTGACTCGGTTCACTTTTGGGGTTAGTCTACTCTTTCACCTTCTGTGTGGAAGCAGGGCAGGTAGGCTTTGCAGAAAGCAAGCCCTGTGGCTAACCCATATATATATATATATATATATATATATATATATATATATATAGAGAGAGAGAGAGAGAGAGAGAGAGAGAGAGAGACAGAGAGAGAGACAGAGAGAGAGACAGAGACAGAAAGACAGAGAGTGAGTGAGCAAGCAAGCGAGCGAGCGAGCGAGAGAGAGAGAAGCTATGGCTGAGGTTTTTTGATTATGTGTTTGCTTCTTGCATCTCTATTAGAGGGTTCTTCCTTAAAGACCTGAGTACGTTCGATTATTCTGGGACACACTTCTCCATGGATTAACACTGACTTGAAGAACATGATACACTAAGGAAGGCTACAGACTTCTAAGCCCCTAGAGCATGCTGAGCATTTTTGCAGAGCAGGGTTCAGTTCTAACAGCTGTGTTGCCAAGGAAACAGACACTCCAACCCCAACTACTGGCTGCATACTGAAGGAATTTAAACTAACATATAAAGGTAACATTTATGAATGAAAAATGAAATGGCAGGTTAAAAAAAAAGGTTGGAAGGTAAAGAAAGCAAATGAAGTTCAGATCCTATTACCTTCTCTTCCATCTCACTTTCGGCTCTGGGCAGATTCAGAGGACTGGGAGAACTTGGCGTATCACTGGACTGAAACAACAGAGGAGGCACTCAAGTCAAACACTAGAACAGGAAGCTCTGGGCAAGACATCACCTGTGACTGGCCAGGGCTGCTCCTCCTCCATGCATGGGTGAGTTTGGCCCACAGCCTGAAAGAAGCCGAAGAGCTGCTCATTCACCACCCAAGCCAGGGAGCGGGGCTGTGCTCTGCACGCATGGCTCCAGCCCTGGTGCTCTGGCCTGGCTGGCAACTTTACCCCTTCACGGCCAGAACCTTCCCCTCAATGCAAGGGGTGAGAGGGAACAAGGCCCTCCCAGTGCCACAGACAAAGGGCTGGGCTCAAAAGGGAGCATAGAGGGAGCAAAAGTACAGGCAGGAGGGGGAAGAGAAGGCTAGAGACCCACCCCAGGGTCCTAGGCGTGCCCTGGGCACACCCCAGCTGGGCACCCCGCTTTCTGAGGCTCTCTCCTGCTCTACCTGTCAGCTCATGTCACCACTTTTACAAAAGATCTTATCTTCTCTTCCTAGCACTGTCAGCTGGCCCTGCCTGTCCATTCTCTGCCCCACACTTAGAAAGAAAACACAGATCAGATTATGACACTGCCCTGTTAGAAATCCTCAGAGGCATCCTATTGCTGCAGAACAGAATTCCCACAGATTCCCCCTTTCCCCATGGTACATCTTCCTTGTCACCCACCTCCCCATCGGGCCACACTACCTCCTCCAGGTCTGCTTCGGGACCTCTACTGTGGTCCACTCTCCACTTAGACTATTTTTCCACTTGCTATGCCAGCTCTGCTCTCTACCATACACCTAGAGACATAATCCTCCCTGTGACTTTCACCTTCTTTTATTTTCTGTGCAGCCAGTGTTTTTCTGGCTCTCAAGTGATTACATTTGTTTACTCACTGGCCACACATTAGGAAGCAAACTGCATGAGGTGGCCCTGGGTTCATCTTGTTCATCTACTGACACCCACGTCTGCGTCAAGGCCTGCTACACTGATAGCCTCTGTCCCCCCAAGGCCACAGGGCCTGCTCTGCAAAGCTCACAGGAACTAGGTCGCTGCTCCTGCTCTTGATTGTTGTCTGACATCGAAGAGGCTGGGAAGAGCAGTTTTAGATCAATTAGAAAGAATGGGTCTCACCCCTGCTTCACTCCTCACTCAGAGGGTATTAGTGTGTGTGGGCACAGGGGCATCAGGCCAGGGCCAAGCAGTGGTGGGCACGAGGGTGAAACACCCTTTTCCCCTTCCTTTCTGCATTTTCTTCTGCAAATCACTTATGTTTCTTAATACTCTCATGATGGCCGGCATGCTTTTCTCCATTTTAATACCAACCACCCTGATTGCAGGCACCTCAAGAGGCAGAACTGAGAAAATGTATTTTTCATCTTTCAAAATATCTGAAGCCCCATCCTTCACCTCTAGAAGCCCGACTCTGGCCAGTGACAAAGGGACTTCTGCTCCCTTTCCAGCAGGCACGTGGGGGTTTCCCTTCTATGCAGAAGAACTCTCAATTCAGAATGTGTAGTCTCTGCTCCAGTGCAGCAGGCTGAATTTTGACAGCATGGTATGAATATGACCTTCTTTCACACTCAGGGACTCCGAGCTAGCCATCTGCGGTGTTCTGCCTGCCTGAGCCCTGCTTTCTTTCTTTCTTTTTTTTTCTTCTTTCTCTCATTTTCCTTTCAGTTAGTCCAGTGTGACATGTAATCACTCAGAGCTATTAAACGGGCACTGCATAAGTTGTGGGGAGACACAGATGTGGAGGGTGCGGTTTGTGGCGGGAAAGTCGGGAGGACACACAGACAGGGAAGAAGATGCGAGCAGGGCTGGTGTGTAAGGAGTGGGAAAAACTCACAGCAAAGGCAAGGAGGACGCGACAAGCTCAGGGGTGAGGTCAGGGAGGGCTCCATACAATATAGCCTGAGTGCTGAGGGCACAAGGCGGGCGCAGGGCAGAACTGGTGTGCCCTCCTCCACTCCCTTCTCATTGGCCCCAGGAAGTGGCATCTTCCCAGGAAGTGCCCTCCAGCCCTGAGCCCCTCACCAGTAAAGCTTCCCCCACTGGTCATTCCACAGAGACCCCAAGATGCCCCATCCACTGCGGGAACATCCCCGCACTGCTTCTGAGCAATCCCATTTCCCCCGCTGGAGGCTTACTTTGTTCTCAGTGTCTGACAGGATGATGTCCTGTTGGGTCACAATTTCCATGGGACTGGTCAGGAACAAGTCCTCTTCTGAGCTAATGTCTCCACTGCCTGCCTTCTTCATGGGAATGGCATTGAGTGGCCTCTGCCCAAACTTGATATTCTTGCCCAGCTGTCGCTGGAGAGAAACAAAAGAATGACATTTCTGAAGCAGTGAAGTGATCTCCAAAGCCACAGTGAGGTTTCCCAGCATATCTAGGAAGCACTGAGGCATAGGCTCAGCACAGCAGCTCTAGCCACTCCACTGCGTGGGCCCACGGTGTGCTCGGTCCCCCAGTGCGCTCACTCATCTCAGGCCTCTTCCCTTCCCCACTTCATACCAGGAGCTTTTCCTCTAGACGCCCCCTGAGGAAAGGCCCAGATTTTTCTAGTGGGATTATCTTTCTGAACCAAATCTGGAATATGTGTTTTTGATTTTTATCTATAAATTTAAAGAAGTCTATTACAAGCATAAGGGTTATATGGCATGCAGTTGTAGAAAATATAGGAACCACAGAAATCAATATTCTCAAGGCAGGCATCCACCAGTCCCTTTCAGGAACACTTCCTGTGAGCCTTGCCCCAGAGCCTGGTTTGCTATCCTGTGTCTAGGCTGCCTGCTTTGGTCACGGCATCAAGATGCAGAAGGCCCAGGGGGCCTGCAAGTCAGCGCTGAAGGGGTGTTCCCACTCAGGGGTGGGAACAATTCAGTTTCCTCCGCCTTCACTGCAAGCGCACATTGTGGGCCTGGAGGAACTGGGACAGCAAAGGACCAGGATGGGCTTATTATTGGTTGTAGCTGGAAAGAAGAAGGGTAAGGGACCAAGAAACAGGGCAGAACTAGGATGGTGCAGTGTATTGGGAAGTAGATAAGGGGCAGATTAGAAAAGGACTGATATCCCCAGATACTGCCCAGTGTCCCCTGGTGGGGGCTGTTCCCACCTCAAAACCACTGCTTTAGAAGGGTGCTTCACTTGGGTTTCACTGTCTGCATACATCTCAAAAAAGAGATGTGTGATATTTGTCTTTAATCTGGCTGATATTTAGTCCTGTAGAGCTGCATAGGACTCAGCAATCACTTATTCCAACCTCTCACTTTGCAAAAAAGCTCAGAAGTGCAGTGGAGAGGTGACTGACCACACAGGAATGTGGACCCAGCCCCCTGAAAGTCACGTTTGAGGGCATCTGACATGCGCTTCACTGGCTCCCACAGCTCTGACATGATACTTCCTTCTTGCTCGGTGGTTATAGAAAGCGATGATACTGCAGATTTAATAGCTGTCTGAAGTTCCCTGACAGAAGAATCCCCTGGGCCAAATGCCCCATCTCCCCGCTCTTGTGCCCAGCTTCCCCCCAGCACAGCCTGGGGAGCAGTGCTCTGCAGACATGTGACAGAGGTCCATGAGCCTTCCCTCCCTGCACCCTCCCGACCCCGCATGCCAAGTCAGGAGCACAGCAAGTCAAGGCTTTGGGCTCCCGGGCCCTGGCAAGCTGCACATCCAAAGCCCGAGAGAAATTCAGCCAGGGAGGGAAGGGCAGCTTCAGCAGCCTGAGAGGGTTGCGGGGAGCAGAAAGTGGAGAAAGGGTGTCTCCCGAAACAAGTGCAGCAGGAAGCAGTGTTAGTGTCTAGTCTACACAGGTCAATAAGCAGGCACAGTTAGGACAGCCAAGGAGTTAGACGAGAGGACATGGGAGTTACAAAGCCACAGGCCCATCTTGCTTTGCTGCCCTGGGAGACGGGGTGGGAACCTGGGCCCAAGATGTGGGGAAGGTTCCTCTGTCCTCCTGGGCCAGCCTTCCCTGGGTGCTGGCCACGAGCCGGAAACTGTGCTAGTCCCATCCGCCAGGGACACTCGTGTTGGCAGGTTCTGCTGCTTGCCAGTGCTCCTGAGTGCCCAAGATCAGGGTGTTTTTAAAATTAATATAAAACAATTGTTCATATCAGTGGAATATGGCATGTATTTCAGTACATGTATACATACAGTGTGTGATGATCAAGTTAGGATGATTGGTATATCTGTTACCTCAGCCAGTCATCATTTCGTTATGCTGGGAATACTCAAAATTCTTTTTTCTAACAATACTTATTGTTAAGCCTGGTGATCCTACTGTGGTACAGAATGCTGGAGCTTCTTCCTTCTTCTAGCCGTGGTGTGGCCATTGACAAAGATGAAGGTATTTCTTGTGCCCACAAGGAAAGGATAATTCTGTAATGCATTTCCTGGCCTAACCCTCTAATGCCATTAAATGAGGACTTTTGTCACCACTGGAAAAAAAAAAGAATGAATATGCTAATATTCTACTTCATCAGGGTCCTTTTTGGAATACTGATGTCGGTCTATGCTGATTCTTAAGAGACAGAGTGTAGCAAAATGTAATCACAGTCTAGACTGCAATAAAGTCCAGACAGGGTGATGACCATGGCTTCAAATGGAAATACACAGAATAAGAAGAGGAACAACGTGGGATGTGGGACAGTAAGGGAGAGAGCTAAAGCGGTAGAGTAAGAGGCAGGCGCCAAGGACAGAGGCCGTGAGGGAAGAGGTGCCAGGAAGAGTCCAAGGCTCCAGGTACCCTTGGAAGCGCTGTGGGCCCTGGGGTCAAAGGGAGGAAACGAGGCAGTGTGATGTTGAAAGCTTAATTTACCTCACAGATAGGCTCACCCTGACAAAAGAACAACACTGCTGTCCCTTTCACAGTGCAACGTGGGTCTCGGTACATCATTGATCTGAAACCTCCCCAGAGAAGAAGACGCAGCTGGTGGCCAGAGAGCTTAGCAGAGGCACAGAGGATGATGGGATGGTGCTGAGGCCGGGCCCTGGGGAGCTGTGTCCACACAGGCCTGTGCTTGGACTCACAGCCTGCAGCTGTCAGGTGTGGGCTGTAGGCCAGGGCCGGGTAACCCCGTGGTACCCACAGACGAGGCCTCATGCCCACATACTTCCTGCACTGGGCCTGCAGATGCCTCCCGGGGGGTGCCTCAGCAAGGCTGGCTGTTGTGACATTTTGTGAGATGTAATGACAACTATGATTACTGCTCAAACCTATCTGATGATCATCTAAAACGTCACATGAATTGGCCATGTGGACACGTGCTGTTACTTCAATTTGTCTCCAGTCAGGTGCTGTCACGACAGGAGCTATGATCTAAGTGAGCCATCACTGAAAACAGGACTGATCGGATGAGGTGGCTCTTGAGTCCAGAGAGGTAAAACACCACTCTCTCCCCCTTAAAAAAACAAAACAAAACAAAACAAAAAACCCCACCTACGAGCTGTCTTCATGCATTGTGATTGTAACCACAGGCGAGCAAGCCATCTTCTGCCTGCGCTGCTAGTCTATTTTGCTGGGGGCTGTGAATGGAGTTACTGTTGGAACTGGAATGTCGACTAAAAGGGGCTATATTTTATTCACTCAAATTGGGCCATTTTTCTGTGATATGGAATGCTGGAGAACGACATTACAGGAATGCACATCCATATTTATGAGCTTGTGTCCATGGTGTGGAAATGCCAGGCACATTGCACTCTGCAGCTCCCTTCTTGCCAGGGCCTAGAATTCCCCAGATTTTTTTTTTTTTCACAGACTTCTTCAAACCATGTCTGTAGGAGCAAAGCAGAGGACAAATAAAGTTGCTGTTTTCCTGAACCAATTAATCTCCCCATGAAAGTAAAGTCTAAGAAAGAAAAACTACCGATTTAAGGACAGTTGCTCTATGAGGTGGCTAGGAGCAGGTGTTTACTCTCTGTGTCCTTGACTACTGCATTAGATGTCAAAGCCCTCATATGTAGGATTTTTGTATTATTAGATAAATTCAGCTCAGCAGCAGACACTAGCTGCTAGGAATGGAGATTTCCCTCTTAACCCTAATATGTGTGGTTCAGTGAAATTAAACATTCCCCCCAACAGAACTGTGGGAAAACCCTAAAGTCACCCGAGGTTTAGACTGTGCTCATTAGCTGGTATGTGCCTCACAGCCTGCTCTGATCTCAGTGACCAGGCTCCCTCCTTGTGCGGTGTTTCTGGGAAGCTGCCAGGAGGGTCAAGGATGGGGTTGTCCCAACGCAGTGCTGTGCAAAGCATTACAGCTGTCCTGCTTCCATTCAGATTGCAGGAACTGGAGGGGCCTTACAACCTCTCCTCTGGCACCTCATCTGCATAGTTTGGGTTGGAAAATGAGTGTCAGAGAGGTTAAACGACTTCCTTTGAGGCCACGATACCACTTTTAATTTCACTGCTTTCTCTCATTCACTCAAATGCTATTCATTCCACTGGGCACAAAGCAACCGACTCCCTAGCACAGAATCCTCCCAAAGCGCACCACTGGTGTGTTCTCTGCAATCACTGCCCTGCTCATTAAAATGCTGCCAACATGCACTCAGAAAAATATGCAGTTCATCTTCTAAAAAGTTTAATCGCTTGCCACAGATATTTTGATATGTGGAGTGACTTTATTGAGGAAAGAGCAGGCTGATGTGTGCTGTCCTTAGTCATTCTGTACTCAGTGGAAAGCCTCTTAGCTGCAGGTGCATTGTTAGGCCGGGTCTAGGTGCGATGACACCCGTGGACACTAGGGGGCAACCTTTTCAAATGCATTACTACAGACGCCCTCCCCAACTTCTGACAGCTCCAAGCAAGGGCTGGGCAGCTCCCTAAGCCATAGAAAAATGTCATTTTTCTTTTTCGTAGCATTCTAGTAGAATCTCATTCAAAAAGAATGTGTTAGCAATGGTGGCTAATCTGATTCTAGGACATTTACTGTCAAATGGGTGTTACCTAACACTTCCCTTTTGAAAAATGAATGTACACAAATACACAAAGACAATTCCAGACATAACAACGTAACATGCCTCTGACACAGCTGACCTCTACCGTTCCATGCCGGAGTCTACGAGGGGGCGGTCTCTTGTGCTGCTTTACTAAGCATCAACACCAGCATAACGTTGTCATGAAAAAATGCCAAGCATTCATGCAAGTTAATAAAGTTACTATCATCACCCCAACTTACCAGGAACATACTGCTTAGTCGACTGAAAAATAAAGCACAGTCTTTTGGGGGTGATACAGTTATACCTTAGGTCACTCCAAAATTACATTTGCTAATATCATGGCCCCATTTCCCTCTTTGAAGAGCAAAACATTTATTTTTTAAAAAAATATCATTACACGGCTAAAAGGAAGCTTGGAAACTCATGCAGCAAAGATAAAATTAGGCTGACTTGGAATAAGTAGATACTATCAAACCAAATTCTCAAGCACTCAAATGAAATAATTCTTCCTGCTTTACTTACATTTTTCTTCTTGGGTTAATAGAATTGTCACTTTAGGGAAGTTGGTCATTTTACATTTTATTAAGGAGATCAGATTACATAAAATAACATCTTATTACTAGCAGAAGTCATAAACATATTTTTATCAAATTTCTATGTTTTCTATACTGCATGCACAATTACTTTTTTTTAAACAACTCTAAATCCACCTCTTGGGGTGATAGCGGCATGTGGTATAATGTTACACAAAAGATATCATTTAAGAAAATAGGCACCTATCCACTTTTTTTTTTTTTTTTTTGAACCAGGGATTGAACTCAGGCCCTTGCACTTGCCAGGGAAGCGCTTATTCCACTGAACCATCTCCCTGGCCCACCTATCCACTTTTTAAAGAATTTCTAAATGGTAAATACAGCTGTTTCATGGGTAGAATTCTGCATGTGATTCCTCTCTTAGAAAGGGATATGCTGAGCTGGGGTTCGAGACCTATCAAGAACAATGTTCAAAGAATGAGCAGACTCGAGGGGGGAGATGAGGGAAGTTTTCCCTACCTATCTGCAAACTCTGAGCAATGACAGCTTCTTTTTTCTTCAAAATCTAAAAACCATGCAAAGGCTCGACCAGCTACAACCGAGGGCACCACCTGGTCAGCCAGGGCTGGGATCTGAAGGACCGGCCGTGGGTGCCTCCTAGGGATTCTGTCCTTGGCACCTGAGTGCAGCTGCAGGCCAGCTTGGGCTCGGCTCCAGGCTGCTGGCTACTTCCCACCTGCTGCCTTCAGCTCAGCGCGTGTGGACATGTGGCCAAGCACAGGTTACAGAGTACACAGCCCACGTAGCAGTAAGAACATTTCAGGAAAACAGACAATTTTGAGGGCAGCATTTCATGGCCTAATACTACTCAGGCCAGCTGTTCTCTTATTCTCATGCACCCATTCATTACTGCTGACATACAGTCAGATGGCAGCCAGCACCCCTGAGCCTTCTGTTGAAAATCTGGGCAAACACCATGCACCCCATCTCAGAGCAGTGCCTGCTTAGGCATTGCTCCTGGGGGAGGGAATTCTTCCTAGCAAAGGGGCGGACCTACATAGACAGACCCAAGTCTCTTTGCTTGCCTTGTTTTTCCTGGAGTCCCTGGTATTTCAGTCACATTTGGCTAAGAATTATTTTATTGTATTTGCACTGCCAGGGAGTCACCCCCTGAGTCAACACGAGTTAGGAAAGCTGGCCACCCTGCAGCATGCACAGGAGGGAGTTCCAGTGTCTTCTGAGACATGGTGGCTGGGAGCCAGATCTATAAACACAGCAGAAAACAGTGTCACCAGTCCCTGGGCAGTGATGGGGACTTGACAAGGATGTGTGCAGTGTAGTCGGTGGCAGCAGCCTCTGGCCATGGGGTACGGGCTGACTTAATGGTCAGGAACTCTTTCCTCCACCCAAACCCTCAGCTTCCCCTGCACACTGTTCTCAAGTGCGGCCAGAGAGGAGGGAACCACTGGAGGGGAAAGAAGAGGACTGCCACACAGGTGGTACAGGGTGAGGAGGCACCTCGCCAGGGGTTTCCAGAGGTCAGAGTGAGGCTCAGGACGGCAGAGCCTCTCACTAGGAGTGACCGCTGGACTTCCCCCTCCAAGAACCAAGGACGAGCTGGGGACTTCTCCACTTCGTCCACAGCAGGGCTCATCCTCTGGTTCTGACCTTCCAGTCTCCGGCTCTCTTACCTGAAGAGTTTTGACTTTGCCCAGGATGTTGTCCTGTGACATTGCTTGAACTGTCTGCTCACTTTCTGCTCCCCCATCAGGGATAAAAATACTGTCATGGGAAAGCGCCCGAGTTCCCATAGAATAGTTGAAGGACCTGGAATGCAAATCATGTGCTTCATTTTATTAGGATGATAAAATTTCTTTTGGCAATTAGGCTTGCTGTTCCCAATTGGAGGGACTCCACCCACATTCCCTGTGTTGCTCAGAAAGCACGCCAGCACTCTGGCCCTTCCTGCTGTGGGTCAGCCAAAGAGCTGGGGAGATGAAATGGCCCAGGAGTGGGAGCAGGGCTCTTACACAATCTGGGTTGAGGGCCACCGCAGAACTTATTGGGAGGAGGCACCTTCGCAACTGAGCACTCTCAGAGTTGCTCCAGGAGGTCTCGCCAACCTACAGGACCAAATAATAAGCACACCTGGAAGCAAGGGGCACGAACGCTGTTCACATGACAATGACCCTGGAAGAAAGGCACCGATCTAAAGCAGACACTGTGGAAGAGGACTAGACATGCTGATGGGGCGACCAATGCTTGAGGATTAGGAGCAAGGGGAGGAATTTGTGTTGGGGCCATCCTGACAGGCTTCCTACGACCTGGACACCTTCCAGCCCGGGAAACCTTCCCACACTGGAACCAACTGCCATGGCTCGATATAGTTTGAGAGGGTCCCCCAAGGGTTCCTGTGTTGGAAGTGTGGTCCTCAATGTGGTGACACTAGGAGCTGGTAAAGCCTGTCAGAGGTGGGTCCTAAGTCACGCAGGGCACTGCTCTCTGAAGGAACTAATGAAGTTCTCATGGAACCTTCACTGATTCTCCCATGAGGTGTTATACAGGAGCAAGCCTGGTCCCCCCCGCCACACTCTGGTTTCCCTTCATGCCATGTGCATTCTCCCTCTTGCACATGTTCTGCCATGCCAGCACCTGCCATAGAGGGATGCAGCCAGCAAGCACTGGCCACGGCTGGCACCATACAATTTGGACTTTCAGCTTCCAAAACTATGAGCTAAGTAAACTCTATTCTTTATCTTTCTAGTCTCAGGCACTTTGTTATAGTAACTGAAAATGACTAATGCACCAACAATGGACACTTTTTAGTTAAAGGTTAGACTTTCAGGAATTCTGGACTTGTACCTGACATGAGTACAAGCAGTGTGAACACTGGAAGAGGAAGTCACAGAGGCAAACTCTTCCTTACTTGGCATTCAAAACTAAGTTATCCTTGGGGAAGAATACCCTCGGAGACTGCTAGCCCCTCCCAGGGCAGTAGGGCAGCTTACCATCCCAATGCCAGGGAGCACATTTCTATGATACCAGGCAGGGCAGGCAAGACTCAGAGGGGTGAGTGGGTACCACCTCTTCCTCCTTATCCCCAGAAAGAGGCTCCAGGAGATTTTTTTTTCAGATGCAAGGACAGAACACAAGAGAACAGCCAACCTTGGAGAAAGCACTTTGGTCAAAGACTTCTTTACAGAACTAAGGACACACTGTGCAGGGTCCTAGGCAGCTATACTGGCATCTGCCCAACTATAGACCAACTTGGGAAGACTGATTGCCAAACGGTGTCATTTAATTTACCAAGGACAAGAACAATGGTAAACAGAGCATTTGAGGGTTTGAAAGGAAAGACTGGGAGGTGAGCTTCCTGGGGTTGTGAGCTTAGGCAATGGGAACAACATCCGACTCTGATATTGATGAAAACTTTGTTGGAATTTTACTTCCTTTATCTGATTTAATCCTCATCACCACCATCTTGTTAGAGATGAAACTTGGGATAAATAACCTTACCTAAAGCCATTCAAGTTGAAGAGGCAGAATGTGAAGTCAGACCTCTTGAATACTACCTTGTGCCAGCCAGGTGTCATGTTTTAAAGTATGGAAATCTTAAAGTATTGTCACCTGGGGGATGATGTATGGGAGAGAAGACAAGGTGCAAATGCCATGCAGGCCAGTATACAGGAGGGCTGGAGAGACAAAATAGCTAGCAGAACGGTGGAGCCTTCAGCCAAATACAAGATACTTGAGATACATAATACTCGAATTTACGTGGTAGGCACTGTTATGAAACCTATTTATGGATAAGAAACTAAGGCCTAAAGACAGTAACTTAGGGCTGGTCAAACAGCTCAGCAGATTAAAGTGCCTACAAGCAGGCGCAGGGGCGGGGAGTTGCATCCCCAGGCCTGCTGTGCCAGCCCTGCCCCCGGGGCATGCTGAGCAGGCAATTGAGACTGGGCGTGGTGGTGTGCGCCTGTAATCCCAGCCCTTGGGAGGCTGTAAACAGGCGGATCACTATGAGTCTGATCTAGTAGTGAGACCCTGAACACTCTATAGACCCTTCCCTAAAATTAAAAAAAGAAAAACAAAAAACCCCAGTAACTTGTCAAGGTACTGTCTATATGTGAATCTGACCCAGGTCTCTGTCACTTGGTCTACGTGGCTTTTTGTTGTTGTTGGGTTTTTTTGTTGTTGTTTTTTCTTTTTTTGGTTTCTTGTTTTGACAGCAATAATACCATATAATGTTAATTCTTACAGCTCATCTGTAATTTAAGTTTTCAGCATTGTTTTTTCCCCCTAAGATGGTGATCCTGTCTCTTTTCAATTCTACATAAATTTACACACACACACACACACACACACACACTTCCGTATTCTGGAGATTACCTTTGTGATTATTAGAGCTGAGAGACAGTACAGTCCTCCCATGGTGTCTGTAGGGGCTGTCACCTCCAGCTTACTTTTCTCCTTTTATTTTGTTTATTTAATTATTATTTATTTATTTATTTATTTATTGGCAGAACTGGGGATTGAACTCAGGCCCTTGCATTTGCCAGGCAAGTGCTTATTCTACTGAGCCATCTCCCCGGCCCCTGTGATCCTATTATTAGATCAACATAATAGGATCACATTGGACTGATACCTATACAATACTGAATGGTTTAGTCCATGAACATGGGTGTATTCAGATCACCTTTACTTTCTCTCAGTAATATTTTAGTGACTTTCTGTATAGTGGTCGTGTGTTATGTTTTAATAGATTTATTCATAGGGATTTGGTAGTTCTGAATTTCTGTAAATGGTACAGGTTAAAATTTTTATTTTCTGATTTTTATTGGTGAAATATAAAGTATAACTGTTTTTATACGCTGGTCTTGCAACCTGAAATGTTGCTAGGTTTATTTACTAGCTATAATCATATGACTGATAATTCTTTTATGCACATAATCAAGTTGTCTGCAAGAAAAGATCATTTTATTTCCTCCTTTTCAGTACTGTGTCTTTTTTAAAAATATTCAATTTTAGCTAGAATCTTCATTCAGAACTGAATAGAAGTGGTGATGGTGAGCGCTCTAACGTGCTCCAACTCAAGAGAAAACATTCGGTATTTCATCTAGTATAATGTTAGCTATAAAATTTTGTAGATCTGTTTGAATCACGATCTGTCTTTTATTTATAGTAGATTAAAAATTTATCTCGTTTTCTTTAGCTTCTAGCAATTTTACTCTGATAAGCCTAGGTGAACTTTTTCTTAAATCTATGACTTGATATCTTTCACTGGACTTGGAAAATTCTCAATATTTCTGAAATTTTCTGTCTATTTTTCCTCTAATTATTTTCTGAATTTCCAGTGTTAGGACCTTTCAACAACAGGCATTTTTCTGTACCATTCTTTTTATTTAATATGATGCAGAGCAGATTTTTCTTTATTCATGGTCTTTTGAGACAGGTTCTCATTGTGTAGCTTGGCTGGCCTTGAACTTGCTGTGAGTCCAGGCTGGCCTTGAACTCTTGGCAATACTCCTGCCTCAGCCTACCACGTAAGTACCGCCACACCTGCAGGTTATTGATCTTTGTAAGGCTCCCTCCCCACTTCTAATGTACACAGAGCACCTGGATTATTTCTAGGATTCTTTTTCTTAGCAGGCCTGAGCTCCAATTTTTGTTTCTCCATACAACAGACTGCCAGAACTCTATTAATTTCTACAACACAACAGTCACGTCCAGATCTACTGGTTGATACAGCCATCGCTCTAAAGAGCATGTTTTCAAAGTGATCAGAAACATTTGTACTTTTTTTTCTTGCTGTATTTAGTTTTTGCTTCATTTTAACATACTGTGTGAAACAGCAGAGGAGCTTGGCAACTGGTTTAGTAGTTACATGAACGAACACTCACCTAATTGAAAGTAGCGCTGTTTCCATAATGTAAAGTAACAGTGAATCTTGGGCAATCCACCTAATGATAAATCTTTAATGATCATGTTTACGGGTTCCATATCCCAACAACCTAATAATATAAATCATTTCCTTTTCTTTACAGGGAAATTTGAGATAGTGGATACAAACATCCTCCAAAGTTCCAGACTTTGAGGTCAGGTTGCAATTGAAAGGAAGTGGCCCATTGTGGTGATCTCAGCTTGAAACTGTGCTCTAGAGGTAGAATCATTGTCCTTTGCCAGCTGGTAACCCAGCTGGTAACCGCAATGCCAGGACTGGGAGGCAGGAACAATGTAGCACACCTTGTATCTCAGAGAGGCACCTGGACCTCTCTAAACCTGACATTTAAAGGTCTCTCAAGGCTGATGCTGAAGCAGCCCACCCCTGCTTCTCCCTGCTTCCTTTTGTGATGTGTGAACCATGAGGGGAGGCAAGAGGCCTGGTCTCCAAGCCTCTGGACTGGCCGGAAGCTTCCCTCACACTTTCTGTCTCTCACACAGGAGCCATGACTTAGGGAGCCCAGGAAACGGACTCCACAGACCAAGAGTTTCCTGGGGCCCTTGGAGACAGCTGGTTTGCTGCAGACATAGAAGAGCACACTGAATGTCAGGACTTGATTCCCCTATTTCTCTCCCGGCCCTGTGGATGTCGTCACTGACATCACTGTGGGTATCACTGTAGGCAGAGGCTTCCCGTGAGTTCAGAGCCCTGCTTTGGTCTCACCGTTCTACCGTCCCTCACTTCCTCGCTATCTCTCCAGCATGGTGAAGGGAAACCTACACTTCTGACTTTATGATCATTTTTCTCCGTTAGTTTTTGTTGTACCAGGAATTGAGCTTGGGACTTTGCCCTTGCCAGGCAGGCGCTGTGCCTTTGAGCTATA